GAGGTAAACAGTTACCTCAATAGTAGAAAACATGTATTAATAGTAATGATCGACTTTAGCAAAGCATTTGATACGTTAAATTATACTACACTGTATGAAAAAATGTTGCAAAATGGAATACAGGGCCCTCTGTTGGAGTGGTTCAAGAATTATCATTCTAATAGGTATAATGCAGTCAGAATAGCAGGGGAACATAGCGACTTTAAGCTAACTCTTCAAGGATGTGCTCAAGGCTCAATTCTGGGGCCGACTGAGTATTTACTGTACGTAAATGATATGTGTAAAATATTCCACCAGGGCTCTGTATACCAATTTGCCGACGACACTTGTATTCTTACAGTGCATAAGAATCTCGAAATTGCACAAAATATGATGCAGCAGGAGTTTGACATGTTGTGTAAGTGGGCACACGATGTGGGCTTGTCAATAAATTACAGTAAAACAAAATTAATGCATATTCACTCGCCTTACATAAAAGCGGACGTACCCCCCCCAAATCGTGGCTCACAGTCATAGCTGTATGCATCTCTGTAACACGATATGTGATTGCGAGCTCCTTGACGTTGTTAAAGAGCATGTTTACCTTGGAGTCAAAATCGATAATAAATTTCATTGGGGTCCACACGTGGACCACGTTTGTAATAAATTAAGAGCGATTCTTGCAAAGTTGAGTGTTCTTAAATATAAAATGCCATATAACACACTTAGACTACTATATTTGTCACTGGCTGACTCAGTAGTAAGTTATGGCCTCTCCAGCTATGGGAGGACGTATAAAACATATTTAAGAAAAATATTCGACTTACAAATAAGACTGCTAAAGAAGATAGTACCTATGAAAGTTAAATATAAGTACAGAGATAATTATGAAAACTTATTTCAATATTGTAAAGTGCTTAGTATTTATGACAAGGTTAAACTAGCTATAGTATCAGAAAACCAAGAAAAAATTGTACTTATAGAAAAGAAGAAGAGGGCACCAAACTTACGCATAAAAATTAAAGATACATTTCAATTACCGAAATATAACAATGTGTATGGAAAACGAATATGTAAATACATTCTACCCGAAATATTGAATAGAGTGCCCGAAAATATAGTAAAAAAGGTTGAAAGCGGAAGTAAACGGCAAGCCAAAAACACTATAAAGCGATATCTCATGTTCGATCGGTATAGAACCGATGATGGCACTGCCTGCACTGAGTAGTATATGTATTTATTTAATTTTTTTTATAATTGTAATTTTAATTCTATACAGAAAATTAAGTAACCTTAGTAAACTAGCTAAAGTACGAAAATCTTATAAATAAAGATTACAACTTTAGCCTATGTAGCAACTATTTATGTTTTTTTTATTTGAAATAAACAGTTTAAATTTTAAAATTTTTTTTTTTTTTAATAGGTCTTTTTTTTAACGATTTTTTTGTTATCATTTAACGTATTAAGAATTAAGTCTTAAGGTTCATCAGCTAAGCAAGATGTCATAACCCTTGATATTGTTTTGTGGTCCCTGTTTCACAATTAAAAAAGAAGAAAGTCCACGAAACAAAAAAGTAAGTCCCTTTAAAAAGTAAGTTACTAAAAAAATATATTTTTTTTAAATATTAAGCGACGGGTCGAACAAGTCGTGTACCCGGTGGAAAGCGTCACGCCTGTCCATAACAGTAGCACTGCCGCTCGAAGGCTACTGCTACGGCGTCCATCTCTCTGAGACATAGTTGACAAGTCCCATGTGCCTGTAATTTCACCAGCACCCTTACCCTTCAAAACTGTAACACGGCAAAGTGGCAGTACTACCCTGGACGAACTCACAAGGAGCTCTACTGCTACTAGTGATTTTTGAATATGATTTTCGGAACGAAAATGGCTCAAATGCTAATCCGTCAGTGGCAGCGTGTTGTCTTTGCAAATGCAGATTCAACAATAAATGCGGCATTAATATTTCGACGCGGGAGTAGAATTTTTAAACTGAAAGAACAAAATGAAAGGGACCTTTATGAATCAGTGCTATTCGAGCTTTAATTGCACAATTTCATCTTCACCACAGTGTGACTAATGTAACAAAATATTTTTTTAAGATGGTTTTACGATATAAACTCATTTTTTAATATTTTGATTTGGGTCGCTTTCATTGTAAGGGTGCGAAGTATTAGTCGGACAATTGCGTCATATTGCGTCATGCGTTAGAAGAAACATACCGACTGATTCGCTAGCCGCCATGCGTTAGAACAGTACCGACGGATAGAAAGAGACAAATTTCATTCATTAAAATACAATAGATGAATGCGTATTATTACATATGATATGGTAAAAAGAAACAGAGATAACTTTAAATATGTGTTTTTTAGAGGACATTAGTTTTATTAATGGATATTAAATGGAAATTTGTGTATTTTGTATGATTGAAGATATGAAGTTAACAAAACCATATTACGTTATTATGTACTAAGTTTTAAATAATAGTTTTATTATGAAGTAGTGTATTTTGGCAAAGTAATCGATAATATTTATTTTTCATTAAATGTTCACACGCATATTACATGAATAAAATAATAATAAATTTTAGCAATAAGAATATGGATTTAGTACTTTGTAATTTACAATAACATGCCTGAATTTCACAAGTTTTTCAAGTTACGTAATTTGGTTGTATTATGATACTCAATAGAGATGTGATGTGACTATTTATTTTCGTTAAATGACATCAGCTGATCGAAACTGTTCATGGCGAAATTTCCATAAATAACGTAGTGTGTACTAAAACAACTTTGCTAACTAGTTTCATACCATTAACTGAATCCGACCTTCAAATATGACTACACCTTGACTACACCCTGTATAGTAATGTAATGTATGTAATGGTGATTTGCATATTTATTCTCTAAACAAGTTTGAATGTAAGAATGTGGTCACTAAAAGGCTATTGACTTTGTCATATGAGGAAACCGAAAACCTCCTTCATGTTCCATTATAGTTAATTCCCACACACACAAACACACACTCTCACTCACTCACTCACACACACACACAACACACACTCTCCCACACACACAACAAAATTCTTGCCCTCTAGTCTTCAATTTTATTTATATTTATAATTTTTTGATTTGTATAAACCTAATTTTGAGTAACTTTCTCTCATAGCAATCATTCGTGACGCAGTCAATGTTGTTTTTTTTTTTTGATACTTTATCCGTATGCGGAGGCCTGGAGACCTATAGCACAGGGTATCCTAGTTTAGGCTCCAGCCTTCACAGACAACAAATGTTTTATTACTTAAGAATGTTTAATATGGTTGAAATTGTGTGTGAAGGAAATAAAAATTTATTTTTATTATTATTATTATTATAATCCTATTTTAAAAATAATAGGGTTCAATAGCGGTCAAATATTGTACTTTTACTTTTACAGCAAGTATTTTCCTTCCTTGTCCTCGTGTACAGGCGTGTCGCTTACCGCCAGGTGCACGACTTGTTCGCCCCGTCACTTGGTGTAATAATAAAAAAAATTTAAAAACAACCTGTGCAAGGGCTTAGCAAAAGTGCATCTGTGTGCCCCGCCGCAGCAACAGAAGCGGCTTCCGCGACATTTCTAATTTACCCAATTTGTAAGACATAAATCCCGGGAACGCAAATTTTTGCTTAAAAGAAAATTTTTGCTTATTTGGTCAATCTGTTGGAAGTGCACTTTCTTTCTAAGACGTTTGTCTTTCGTAGTATGACAAAGTGTCAAGCCTGACGTGCTCTTATATTGTATGTACCACTAAAATCTTCAGCCATCTGTCCCGGAGTTCCTACCTAGAAATACTAGATGATCGAAAACAAACGATTGCAACAAGCATAAATTAGTTAAAATTGAAAAGTTGACAACATACAAAGAACACATACACAAATATTTAAGCAGTTTATTTTATTTTGCGACACACACGTCCGTCACTGATCTCGGTTCATGGCTCATTGAAATCCAGCGCCGCAGTCAATTACGGCTGTGGCATAAGCTGAATGAAGTCCTTTTGCGTACGTCACAACCGCACACATGACAGTACAACATTTGTAGTCGTTATATTTAGTTTTTTTTGCTTTTTGTTTGTTTTGTCTTATTTTATTTATTTATATTTTAATTTTGTTTATTACGTCTTTTTATTTTGTTTTACTTGTCTAAGTGGTATCAATATATTTTTTTGTATCTGTGTGTTGTGGCGTTGCAATAATTCTCTATTCTAAATGTAATTTTATAAATGTCTGTCATAATTGCTACGGAGATATAATTATGTTAAATACTATAATATTCAATATGTTTATAATTCTTTTTTAATTGTATTGATGACGACTGCACAATTTATTTATTTATTTATTTATTTAATAGTTTATTGTACAGGAAAAATACAACATGTCACAAAGAATACAAGCGAAATTAAAAACAAAAGTTTCTGCTTATTTCTAATAGAAATTTCTTCCTGCAGACCTAAATACAGGACACTATAACTAAAAGAACGGGCATATGTGCACAACAAAACAAGAAAGAAAAAAATAAAAATAAAAATAATATAAAAATATTAAATTGTTATAAATTATATAAATACTTAGATAAATACATATTTTATAATATAATACCTAAGATATGGATGGAATAGTAGATAAATAATGCTCTTTAACTCTCACTTTAAAAATAGCTAACGATTTACTTTCGTGAACAGTAATAGGAAGTGCATTCCAAAGTCTGACCGCATGAACAGTGAAGGAGTGAGAATAGAAACCGGAATTGAAGCATGGAAAAGATAACTGGGACCTAACAAGAGAGCGACAGGGTTTATCCTGGGACCTAAGGAAGCTGAAACGCTCTTTCAGGTACCCGGGAGACACAGGGTTATGTAAAATATTGTAAAGAATGTGCGAAAAGTCTGTATAGGTTTATGCACATTGTTTTTGTTTTGTTAGTTGTAAATTGAAGAGCGTAATAATAATAAATTGTAACTAATTGTGTGCTAATTTCTGTTACAGAGTAGTCACTGGGTGGGCACTGTGCTTCTCACCTCGTGCCAGGTCATCGAACGGCCTAGCAAAAAAGACGGATTCTGTTTTAAACTTTACCACCCTCTCGAGCAGAGCATTTGGGCGCCAAGGGGACCACACAACGAGACTATCGGTCAGTATCAAACACACAAACATATATCTAAATAGATGCCGTAAGTAATAATAATAACGAAATCCTGTGTCGCGGGTGCCACGGACACACAAATAGACCCCTCCTACGTAAAATATCGTATGTCGAAATTGCCAAGTTTACAGGGCAGTGTTTTAAAGTTTTCAATTCACTGAAATGAGCACAACACGTGACTTTAGCATTTGTCAGTTTTATTCGGCAATGCTCGTTACTTTAAAACTCGTTCTCGAATAAAACAGAAATGCTAAAGTCACGTGTTGCGCTTATTTCAGTGAATTCAGAATTATAAAACGCTCCCCTGTAAACTTGGCAACTTCGACATACAATACTTTACGTAGGAGGGGTCGAAATAGACAACCACAAATTACACCCAAACTCTCGAGAGAAATAAACGTAGGCCATACAAATATTTATCCCGGCCCGAGAATCGAACCAGGGACCTTTGCGTGGCAGTCCGGCATGGTAACCGTTCGGCCACGGAAGCAGTTAAAAGGTAAGTGTACCTATTTCGCGTGCCCAATGTAAGCTATAAACACTTAGTTGCCATTGCTACGCTTCAGAAGATTTAGGATTAAAATGTAATAATTTAATTTTAACTTTGGAGTTGTTACCCATTCAGAGTAAAATTTCTGAACGAGTGAGAGACTTCAAATAGAAACAAGATATAAAAAAATATCTTACTTGCTAATATTTAAGTCTCTCACCGTTTTAAGGGTTCGCACTGGAAGCTTAAAATAAAAGGACGGTTTTGGAGTACTGGAGTAAGTTATTTATCTAACATACCGTAGTTAAACATGAACGGAAAACGCGATAAATGCCAAATTGTGCCATTAGAAACTGCAAAAGCACCACAGCTGTGAGAAGATTAATAAACAGGGGCGTTTCCTTCCACAGTTAATTAATTTTGTTATCAGAATATGCATTTTAAAATCAATTATTTTTATTTTGAATGAATTTCGAGAAAACAAATATACAAACGAGTGTATGTCGCATGATTCATAATACATTACGGCTTTTACTTGGTGCGGTACACTTGTGATCCTTTTTAGTAGGCCATGAATATCGAACGAGCGATACTTTCCTATAATGCATTCAGTTTCGTGGTACGGCCGCTTCGTCATGTTTTTGGTCAAATTTGACGATTAGTGATGTTCACTTCATACAACAGAGTTCTCGATTCTGATCGATTTAGGAAACAAAGGGATGGTAATCCTTAAGACCTTAGAAAATGTCATAAAATTATTCTATAAAGTTTATTGTTGTTTTTTGTATAATATCAAGTGACGGGACGAACAAGTCGTGCGCCTGGTGGTAAGTGACACGCCTGTCCATAACAGTCGCAGTGCCATTCAGAGCTTTAAATCGCAAAGACTGCACTGACTGGCACTGCCACTGCGCCCGACACAACCCATTCCACCACCACTCTGACCCTGCTTGGCGGCAGAAATATGCTTATCTTTACTTCTCACTGTTCATAGCCAGCTTCTTGATCTCTTTGTAGCATTTTTTCCCCTTTCTGTTCTCTATTGTTGTTATAAATGTCACTAAACTGTCAACAAGTTTTAAATAATGTTGTCTTTGCGCAGGTGCGGTAGTTCAGCCACTACCGACCGCCCACCTGATATTCCGCGCGCCTTCACAGGCCGCTGGCCACTGTTGGCTCGACGGGCTCGAACTCGCCCTACGATGCAGCAATGCTATGCTCAGGTAATGAGATTTTTTTTTAATATAAATAATAACACACTCTTGGCCACAATCTCAGCTGATGTTAGTGATGTTTGCCAAAAAATGCCTATTCTAACCTGGAATAGCCCCAAAATGTACTTTTCGGGAAATCCGAAGTATTCCATTCCTTTGCCGTACGCATCGGAAGCAAAGCACTTAGTGCGATTGGATACTATCAACGACATAAGAATGGAGTATTCCGTACCTTCTAGTTGACCGAAGGAGAAGGAGGACTTAAATATGAATTAATTATATTTAAGTCCCGTGCTGGGCGCCAAATTGATGATGACAACTTTTGGCACCCGACTCGGGGCCGCATCTTGTTCTCCACTTCGTGATAAGAACTCGAACTCAACGCGACTAAATACGTAAATGTAAGAAAACATCGCATACGTCGCCCCAATTCCAAAGTAAGTGTGTCATGGAAATCGGAAACAACAATGGTACCACAAACACCCTGATCCGAGACAATATAGAACCCGGGACGTTAGAGTGATTGCACGCGGCGACTCTTAGCAGCGATGCAAACATGCGCTCGGGAAACGCGATTGCATCACCACACTTGCGATTTCGAAGTCGCGCATGTATGTAAAGGTAGGCGATTAGCTACCCTGCCCTGTGTAACCGCTCTTAGACACGATGACACCATGAAAACCGATGTTTCAAAGCCACTCGACCACGGAGGTCAACGCCTCTTAATTTAGAACCTTCCTGAAAAATGTGAATATGAATGACGTTGACATTGTGATGCTGTGGCAGATGCTCGCGCTCGCGGCGCACCGACGCGGCCGAGGCGGACGCGGCGGCGGCGCACGCGCAGCTCAGCCACGAGGAGCTCGAGAAGCACTTCAATGAACAAGGTATGTGATGCCACGTTCACTCGTCGACCGTGTTCTAGCGACGTTGTTACTGTGCCGATCTTGCAATTACAAAATAATAGTCTAACAACAAGTATTTGCAAACAAAATGTTACTTCTTGTGACTGCTAGGGGGCGCTCTATAATTTGCCACGAACAACTGCAAACAATTTTGCGCACAGCAGTCCCCGTGAACACATGGTCACAGTTTGCGGCTGTACCGTTTCGGGCGTAAACAAACAACTATTTGTTGTATGTCACTTTTAGAAGTTAACTCTCTTACTTATTATACAAACCGATTAACATTTTTATGAAAAATGGATTGACTATGGTTTATATGGAAAATCGACTATACTGCCGTCTTGTGACAATACGCTGTAACTAAATATTTTACCATTTTTATTCAAATATTAAGAATATTATCCTCTCCCCTCTTAGTGTCGTATTCTAGAACTCTACTCAATGCTCAAGTCAGGATTGCACTGGAAACACAAGCACTGGAAATACGACCCTAATGGCAGGGACTTTAGTATGATTTCGAGTGCTTTAAACCATACTCAAATCCTGACTTGAGCATTGAGTAGAGTTCTAGAATACGACCCCTAGAGTCCGTTGCATATGGTTGTGTCTAAAACAAATATCTTTTCATTCAAGAAACTTTTATAAAAATTCAAACTTAACCATTGTATCCGGCTGGGTAAGAGTCAGGAGATCTGTCACACAGGTTAGTTCCTATAAATTACTGTATAAAACTTTGTAACCTTTCTAAAGAGAGAATAAAAATTATAATTATTAAACTTTTCAAAAAAAAAAACTGATTTTTTGTATTGACACAAAACACTCTCAGTGAAGATAAAGTTGTCACATTGGCTGGGCACTTTGTGCTCCACATTAGCTAAATAAACTCCTGTGAATAATTTTGCTTTATTATTATTTTAAACCTAACACTACCTTAACTTAATTATGGATGAATATTTGTTAGTAATATTGTCACAACACGATACGTAATGTGCTATATAGGCAGGTATAAACAAAATAATAATAATTAATAAAAACACGTAGAACCGAAAATGTTTATGATCTATGAGATGTCATTTTCAAAGTGACAGTTGTTTGTTTACATTTTTGATCTCGAATTCTATCACCGTGTAAATTAATAAATGTTATTAATTTATTTCTCTGATATCGCGAAAATTACAGATGTTTTTTTTCTTGATTTAAAAGCGGTCGCCATAGCAAATTTGGGGTGGAATCACCCTTTAATAATCTCACAGACGTTACAAGATCATTACATGATTTATCACTTTAAGTGCATTAATTATACCTTCAGCGTAAAGTCCATTTTATACAGGCGATAGAGGTGATTATTGATTGATTTCTTTTTTCTAACCCGTATTGCTAAAATGCACCGTTTGGTTGATTATTGCTCGACTTTGTAAACTACGTTGATTGCGAATTGCTAAAAATACATTAAAAAAAAATGCAAATAATAGTTCTAAAAAACTTATCACACTGTCATACGCCAACGCCGTTGATGTCGGTGTCAGATTACAGCCCCAAAAGGTATTCACCTACAACGCTTTCTTATAAATTGAAAAAACTAAAAACCAGAAAATTATCGAAGTGGGCGCAGTTCGTCGAATCTATTGAGATTGTGTCTCGAGAACACGACTCCAGTGAATCAATTGACGAGAAAATAGAACGAGACAAAAATGGCAACACCCAAATAACGGAAAAGAAGGACTTCTTCGATTTTTTCAAAAGGAAAGACATAGAGCGCAACACTGCGACGACGTCGTCAATGCGAACATTCACAGAATCCAAAGCCGTTAAACTGAACAGCAAAAGCCTTACGTCCAGTCCTTTGAAAATAGAAAAAAAAATGCCTATCCTCAAATGTTTTGACATACCGAAAACAACTACAGAGAAGAAAATTAAAGACAGAGTGACAACACCAACAAACATCATCGAAGAAAATTTGATTAAACTCATGACGTCATTACCGATAAGACGCAGCTCGACGCCGTCAACTCAAAAATTAACACAGAAAAGGATTTCCGAACTCAGGTCGTCTGGAGTTAAAACCGACTCTGAGGATGATTACTTAAAGTTAGAATTAACAAAAAAGAAGAAGGATAACTCGGAACTGTTATGCGCTACGCCCGAGAATATAATTATTACTAAAACAGCGCCATCTGTTGAGCGGTTTCGGAAGTACAGTTCGTCGTCTACCGATGACGTTTGTGATGCTCAAAGACGGTATGTTTTCTAAATTCTTAAATAATATGTCGTTTGGCAATTACAGCTATTTAAAACAGTTTCCGTTTGTCTAGCTTTGACAGCAATAGACAAATATCGCGAGAAATGTTAAGGTGGATTTATATTTGTCTGACCGGTTAGCGTTCACATCTATATGTCGTTTTCTGACGAGATTTTGGAGCAATACGTCTGACCCATTACGACACAGCACTGGCGCGTGCACACTGAATGGGGGTCCTGGTCAGACATCAGGACCCTCTTCGATATTTTAACCGAATCGTTAAATTAGATATCGTTCTCGAATCGAAGGGCGCTTTCCGAGCTATTCAGAACATTCGAGTTAAACGTTTGATTCGGAAACGATATCGTTATCCAACAGCGTTTACAGAATCAGTCGGTGAAATAGATTATAAGGAAAATGAAAATCTTTTTAAGACTTTAAAGGCCTAGAATTTAGGAATGCATTACTCTTGTAGCAAAGCAATTTACTTCCATTTTTATGAACATGGATTTACGTAACACAAAATGACAATGTCATAGGGTTGTATGTCGTCATAGGGTCAGGTGAGGTAAGAGGAACACCAGTGGGACTTGAAGCCTTAACTCATAATCTTAAGAAATTAACACTTTAGTCTCTAGGTCGATAAAACAGACGGACAAATTAGTTTAAACTATTTTAAAGAGATGGCGCTACGACACTGTAGAAACTAGGAGAACCTGAATGCATCGCAAATAAAAATCCTTAAAAGTCTGGGAGATTGTCTTTAAAATAATAAACAACGCTACATGGTACATGGTAAATAATAAACAACGCTAAGACAGCCCCAAACTACTGTATCAATTCCGAATGACAAAATAGCACCCGCTTCTAAAATAATACGACAAAGAACATTGGCAAAGTCACAGTTAGCCTCTTCAAATATCTTAATTACAAGTTTGAATAAAATAAGTTCATTAGGTCTTTCAAATTGGAATAGCGGCCTATCTAAGTAAGGAAATACACAAATTTTAAAGATACTCTAATGACTAATTAATATTTAACCGGACTGTTATCTGCAACTATCAAATTCTTAGGGTCGTATTCCAGAACTGTACTCAATGCTCAAGTCAGGATTTGAGCAGACTTGAGTATGATTTAAGCACTGGAAATACGACCCTAATGGCAAGGAGTTGAGTATGATTTTCAGTGCTCACTGCAATACTCAAGTCCTGACTTGATTATTGAGTAGAGTTCTAGAATACGACCCTTAAGGCCCATTTACATGGAGAGAGTTTCTCGTCTCGTAGATGCGATTATCGAAAGAATATAAAAAACTTTCCTCGTCTAAACATTCGCGATTATCGACCGTCCACGTGAGCGATAATCTCCTCGCCTTTCAATATTGAACGTCTCCGTGTAAACAGAACTCGAAAGCAAAAATCGTATTTCGAGTTTATGTGCCAGCCGTTTCTACCACGAGTGCAGTGCGCGAGGGTGTTTTGATTATCACTGCTTTTCTAAGACAAGAATTAATGGAACGAGGGCGAAAAAAAAATTTCAAATAACGGTGAGTGAGTGAGTGAGTGCCTCTGTGGTCGAATATAGCGTGGGCAATATAGTATTTAGGGTGCTCTCGTAACGAATATGGCACTCCTTTCTAAATCCAGGATGAAAAGTCGTGCCCACACTTTTCAAATAATGGCAAGTTGGGTATCGTTTTTGAGGTATTTGGGGGTGCTCATTACGAACATAGCATTTATTTCTAAATCCAAGATGGCCGACACGACTTTTCAAGTAAATGTACTTTTCAATAAACACTCCTCACTAACTCTCCACTCACTCCCTACTCACTCCCTACTCACTCACTCACTCACTCACTCACTCACCACTCACTCACTTACCACTCAGTCACTCACTCACTCACTCACTCACTCACCGACTCACTCACAACTCACTCACTCACTAACCACTCACACACTCACTCACTCAGCCACTCACTCACCACTCACTCACCACTCACTGACTCACTCACCCCTCACTCACTCACTCACTCACTCATCACTCACTCACTCACTCACTCTCCACTCACTCACGTACGCACGCACGCCCGCGCGCACTCACTCACTCACTCAGTCACTCACGCGCTCACACACGCACTCACTCGCCCTATAAATTTATCATAATTGTCAGTTTTGTTTGTGTCAGTAGTTATGTAATTTAAAAAAAAAATGATAAATCAAAATTATATTTCTATACAGTGCAATGAACTTAATATTATCAGCAGTTTCAAATTTGAATGGTTTTTGCATCATTTTGATATATCCATAGTTATACCGCAGTAATCACTGAACTCGAATGGCAATTCTCGCACTCAAATCGGTTCGAACCGATTTGTACGATAATCGTATGAACTTGAAAAAATGTCATACGAGATCGTGTTTAGACAAGTCGAAAACTCGTAAGCAAGAATCTCCTTACTACATATTTCTCCGTGTAAACAATCGAGGAGGCGATTAAGTTGCTTACGAGTCTCGTATGACATAATCGTAGGCGAGATTTTAGTTCTTGCCTGAATGTAAACATTATGATACGATAATCTTATGGCGATTATTGCTTACGAGAATCGCCTACGAGTTTTCGTCTCGAAGCGTGCGAGAAACTCTCCCCATCTAAATGGGCCTTTAGTTTCTTAACATTGAGCGATATCGAGCCGCCATAAAAGAAATTTCGTTACGTACGTATGGGTATCGTCCGCATTTACTTCACGTAATATCAAATGTACTTGTTCGATTGATTTGTAATGACTTAATAAAAGATTAACTACTTCATTGCAAATAATAAACAAAATGGTAAAACTGACAAAGTTTCCAAAATCAGGGATAGATGGCACGTTTCACAAAAAGTCCGAGTTACTAGTGCAATAGTCTGTGGTATGTTATTAATTAACCCATTTTTTTTGTTATGGCTTAACTTCATTCCTTTTGACCATACCAGTATACAAAATAATTTCCTCTGAACTTTCGTCACGTCACAAAGCCACGGCATCATATTAAGTCTGTTTAAGGCTTCTGTAGTTTCTTTTGATATAATAATACACCGAACGTATTTTATTCAATTACGTAAGACATAACCTACTTCAAACTGACATATCTTTGATTCCCGGCTTCTCAAATTAGTAAACCCAATTTCAGCTTTATATTTTCACACATTTTTCATAAACAGACGCATGCAAATTATGTCAACAAAAACGAGTTTGTGTCCATGGCACACGCGTTACAGGGTTACGCTAGTGCGGGGCTATATAAAAATAAACTAAGAATAAGTTCGATTGTATGTATGTAGTATATTTATTATGAAACCTACAGTTTCACAAGAGATATTCAACTTACTTCATAATGCTCCAATAAGAAATACGATGACAATTTCTTTTACCCCATCTTTTGGGGGATAAGAAACGTTTACACATTTTCACGTCGTTTACAAATACGTCGTAATCATTGTTAAAACATGTAAATCTAATAAACAAAAGCAAGTTTAGTGTACTTCAAAAATCTTATAAGACTATCTGTTCTTCCTAGAGTTCAAAATATTGGACTCAAGTTAAAGTATACCTCTTACCTCACCTGACTATAGATAATTTAAATTTTGTAGAAAATCATCATCCCTCCGTCCAGACAAATACTCATTAATAGATTATCGAAATCTACCCTCGGCGAGTTTAGAGGCGATACAGAACGAACGAAGGGATGAAAGGTTAAATTCTCAGAATGTTTATTTCGCTGGGAAAATTGTTAGAAGCGGTAAGGCTTTAACCTTCGTTTAGTAGTTGCTACCGTCCTTTTACATCCGTTTAACTATATTCCGTAGCACTGGCTGACTTAAGGTGCTTTTCCACCGGCGAGGCGAGACGAGGCTTGAAATTTGAACAGCAAAATTTTAATTGTCTCTTAACGCATTTTCGGAATTGAAATGTTTGTCGGAATAATATTGAACAGTATTGCTGCCTGTATAGACTTAAACTTTGCAACGGAAACACGATTCACGCGATACTTCGCTTTATCAATGTATGTTCTGTTTTTTCTAAAATACTTTTGGCGTGTTGTCTGTGATATTTGCCACGGAGACATTGTTATGTTACCTACAATAATATTTAATATGTTTTCACTTTTTAATACAATATAATTTTTTTATTATTACGTCGTACGTTTATTACGTCTTTTTATTTTGTTTTACTTGTCTAAGTGGTATCAATATATTTTTTTGTATTTATGTGTTGTGGCGTTGCCATAATTGTCTATTCTAAATGTAATTTTATAATTGTCTGTCATATTTGCTACGGAGATATAATGATGTTACCTGCTATAATATTCAATATGTTTTCAATTTTTTTTAATTGTGTATATGACGACTGAACAATGTGCAAAAAAATTTGTATAGATTTATGCACATTCTTTTGTTAATTGTAAATTGAAAAGGGTAATAATAAATTTTAAAAAATAGCGACATGTTTCTGCAAATAATTGCAGAGTACCTTGTAGACGAATTTTTAAAATGCATCAACCAAGTAATTTACTCATTTGGTATCACAATATTTTTATTTTACTATCGTCAACCTCGGTGCGAGCTCGCCATAGCTATTAATAATAATTTTTGGAAATATGCGAGCTTTCAATTTTTGTCTCGCTTAGTCGGTGGAAAAGCGCCTTTACATACAAAATGGCTGACCACAACACGCTCAACCTTGTCAAGGGCTTTGCCACCGTTTGTGCGCGTGACACACTCTACTAACTTGATTATTTGACCCTTGGTCGAGGGTTGCACAAAATAGAACGGCTGACAAACTCGCATAGACAATGACGTGTTCGCTATCGAGACAGCCAGTTAACATTAAATTAAGAAGGCACGCTATACTCCGTCAAAAGTCTGACATCTTTACGTAGTTCGATATAAAGTTTTGTGTGTTTTGTGTTGCTAGAACTAGTGATGTTCCGCTAAATTGATGATTCCCGAAGTGGTTAAA